GGGGCAGAGCCGCGTCTGGGTCACGAAGCGGCCGTCTTCTTCCGCCGTCCTCTCTCCACCCGCCGCCTGATCCCGCTGAGTACCGAGATTTCAATTTATGATTTCTGCTGACGAGAACCAACAATTAAAAGTCGCACCGCCGCTCTTACCGTACCTTCCCCCGCCCCCTGGTGATCACTTTTGTCCTCTAGCCCCAGGCTGAGCGAAAATACACTCGCCGGGAGCCATCTGGTCTGATTCCGGGGACCTCGGCATATGGTCTCCATTAAGCTCGCCAATACGGTGCTGGAGAATGCGGCCTTGGAGCGGCTCCGGAACCTCCAGGATTTTTACCCTGCTTGGTTCAGACTCCAGGCAAAGGGAGGCGAAGGACCGGTTTAAATTCCCAGTTTAATACCCAAGGCTCCTGGTCTCAGGCTGTAATTACTGCGTCTCTGGACTCTTTAAGGAAATGCAGTTCTGCATGGTGATGGTTATCATTCATTCCTCCAGGACCTGAGCTTGTTAGAATGCTATTCTCATTCTAAAAAAAAAAAAAAATCAACGTAAATTTACAGAAATAGCCTGGCCGCAGAAATTCAACCCAACCGGGAGTGTTGGTATGGTTGGGTCTACCTATACCTTCTCCCGCGTCTGTCCCCCGTGGAAAAATCAAAACCACATGAATGTTAGCTTGTGGAAAATAGTTCTTCACACATGGGTTAGGGTTCCCAAGAAAAGGGGAACAGGCTGGTTTAGGGAATTACAGAGTCAGAGACCTGGAAAGTGCCTTCGAATTTATCAAAGACAAGCCTGCCGGTCTGTTGGAGACCCGACCTCATTTAAGGGGTGGGTGTCAGTAAACCTGGCAGTCAGGTCACCCGGGATTCACTTCGTCTCCCGTTCCAGCCTTTCTCCTGCACTTCCCTCTTTGGCCCCGCTCTAGGTCCTTCCTTTTGGGGGGAGTTCTACCCTTTCTTCCCTCCCCCTAAACCTAGGTTTCACTCCTTTCTTTTCCTTTGCTTTTCCTGCTCTCCTATCCCCGCCGCGGCCCCGTGATTTTCTTTGAGTTTGTAAAATGAAACCAGGTGCTGCATAAAACAAAAGCAAAGTAATAACAAGGGAAAAACGATCCAGCACCCGAGGAATGTGCTGAGTTTTATGACTCAGGCTGTCCTGGCAGTGAGCCGCCTGACACTGAGAGGTGCATGGCACGGGGCACACACCATACATGGCAGCCCTGGCCTTCTGGCCTGCCGGGCTGGGATGGTCCAGGCAGCCCGTGACTCACTACACAAAGCCAGAGGCGCTTGTTCTTTGCGGAACAAGACTTCCCAGAGGCTAGTGCCAAAGGATCGTCAACTTTTCCCAGCGAGGGCCAGAGGCGTCCGACGGAGCAGGGGCCAACCCTCAGGCAGGGAGGGGAAGAGGCCCAGGCAAAAAGCCGTCCCCGGAAAAGGAGCGGGCTCCATGGACTTGGGAAAGGGTTTTGGTGCATTTAGGAGATGAATAACCTGTAAGCTGCAAATTGACGGGAAATTAGCATGCATTGTAATAGGGGCAATGGTTTGGGAGTTCCCGGTCATGGGGTTGCTGCAGTGCTTGGAGAAGAGAGTTGCAAGGTGTACTTGTTCTTTGCAGCAATGCATCCAGCAGAGGAAGAGCTTGTGTGATGCTGGCGGGGTTTCTGGGGCGCCATTCCTAAGGCAGTCAGCAGGAGCAGCGAAGAGCTAGAGCCCTGGACTTTGCATAAACACCAAGAGAGACAGAGGCTCACATTCTGAGAATTTTTTTCAAATGAGCATAGAAACAGGGGCGAGGTGTGCTTTCTTTTTGTTGTTTTTCTTTCTTTCTTTTTCTTTTTTCTTTTTTTTTCCTTCCCGTTACAGAGATGGCTCCAAGTGGTGAGGAGCTACTAAGCTCTCCTAGCAGGGCTGGTGGGAGGGGCCTGAACTTGGGTTGGGTGCTGAGGATCTGATTGCTCCTTTCTTTACACAGGCCTGGGAGGAATAAAACGGGACTGATGGTCCTGTCACTTTTTGAATGAGAAGGAACCCGGCCTGGCACAAATGAAATCTCCATACACACGATTTTGTGGAACTGGACTTGCTTTTCCTTTTCTTTCTTAATTTTTTTCTTTGCCTTTCCATAGAATATATACCCCCAAAAGCAATGGTGATTATTCCATAGTTGCAAGAAAAGCTCTACTTCACTTTTTAAATTAAAGCTATTTACCTGGAAAAGTGAAGTCTTCTAGGAATGATGACTTCATAAATATTTATAGCTTGGCATCACCCTGGTTGTGCAGGAGAATGGGCTCATTCAGTGATATTTATGATGTGACACCCCTGTGAGTGACATCGGTCATCTGGGTCAGCCCTGCACCCTGTTTTACTGAAGTTTGTTTATAGAGTGATTATTTATAGAGTGATTATTAGCGAATATTTGCTATATTTAGGCCTACTCCTCTTCTAACTCCCTCTTAGCCCTCTTAAGTCCCCAAACCAGCAAAAAGTCAAGTTTATGATCTAGGGAAGATTTGAACCCTAGTGATAGGGGTGCAGGGGCTTGAATGTGTGCTGTAGAAGGGTGTGAGAAACTGGGAGGCAAGTGGAATGGGAGCAATGACTGTGATCCTAGCATTCGTGTCTTGAGGTGTATTGAGGCTGTTCTGCTGCCCTTGTCTTCGGATGAGTGCCCTTTGGCTGGGTGAGAGGGGCTCTGACAGGTGGTGAGCAAGGCTGAGAGATGAGCATCAGAAGATGCTTAGGAAATGCGTTCCTTCCAGGGAGCCCTCTGCCCAGGGTCTCTCAGGCCTTCAATTGCTTTGGGAAGGAACTGGTAGGGCCCCTGTGACCTCAGCTGGGCCAAGGTCTCTGGTGTAACCCGAGGCTGTCCTCTCTCAGCCACAGCTGGCCCCGGGCTAGGGCAGCAGTTGTCCTCCATCAGCTGTGGAGGAGGAAGGGCCCCCTCCTGCCTGCTGGCTTTGAGCTGCACATGCCCTGACCTTGGCATTTCAGGCTGACTCAGGCCAACTTTGGGACTCAGTATTTGTCTCCAGTGAGCTTGGTTACCTATTATTTCCCCTCAGAAGGGCCAGCTTTTGGTGTGGTGGCATGAACGGTTGCCAGCATTTTATTTTTAGAGACAGGAAAATGCCTGCTTTTTGGTAGCTGCTTGTATGCACCAGGTATGGCATAAAAAAGTTCAAGTGAGAGATTCCAAGCCTTAAATTCATGGCCTATGACATAAACAGTAGGCACCGTAAGTTTCTCTACAGCAGCCCTTTGTGGAGCCTGAGGTCTTTCATTAGAAGGCCTTCTGGGCAGAATGGTAGCCCTGCTATTATACACTGACAGCAAAAGGCCTCTAGACCACAAACTTCATAGCCTAGACATTTCATGAGCCTCCTTTGAGAGTATCGTCTGATCAGAAGTATTGATTGTACCCCCTTTCACTGCTTGTCAGCAGTCCATCATCTAGTCCGGCTTGGTAGGGAGAGTAAGGAAGGCAGCTTACTAAGTTTTGTCTGCATCACCCTCCTCGGACCTACTGACATCATCAGAAGGCAGTCAACTTCCATGGCAAGAAGTATAGCATATGGTTGGACTCAGGGATTGCATTTCCACATTGCATTATAATTGATAGTTTTCCTAATACTTTCCCTCTTAAATCATATTTTTGTTGGTCCTGACATTCTGACTACTATCTAAAAGCATTTTGTAAACAGTAATGACATATTATACAAAGGTAAAATTAAACTGTCTTCCTGCCTTTCTTTCTCCTCAACCTTTAGATAAAGAGTACTCCCAAATTATAAAAGTAAGTCACAAATACTACACTCTCCTTTCTGCTTACAGCCCGTAATTACCTGTTGGATTCATGTTTCTCATTTCTGGTATACATCCTCTGGTAGGTTTTTCATATGTTCTCATAATTTTCTCTATTCAAGAGCAGGCAATACATTTTCTTGACAGCTTATGTGAGAATTTATTTTGAACTCTGTCTTAGTGTTGGTTTGGCTTGTAAGGAACTCTAACTTTGA